AAAAAGAAACGATGCTTGTTTGTATTATAACACTAAAAGGCCAGGTGTCCCCAAACTTTCGATGGGCAATGGAAATGCTTGATAAACTGTTCGATCGAAGGTTTGCAGTAGCAGTATGCAAATTATTAATAGATCAAAATGCTCGTAAAAATCATCAAGATGCTAAAGATGCAACACTTTTGTAGGTCACAGGATTCGAATCTACCTTTTAATACTTTAATTTGTTTTGTAACGGCCTCCTCAATGCTCTGCGGCCTAAACAGTTCATCTGTTTATCTTCAACGTTCACAGCAAATCAGCTCTGGGATTACTAACGGTTGTCCTATGTGTTCTGTTTGACCTAGTACATCTAAGTGTACTTGGCTACTAATGTGAGTCTGTAATCCATTACAGATTTATTCACTGAAAAAAGGGAAGAAAGAAATGTGCGGATTATAGCTTTAACTTCTAACGACACGGTGAACGAAACACTGCTTCCACTCGATCCTACTTCGATTGCTTTAGAGATCAGGGGTTGGTCTCTTTGGTTTCTTGTGTCCAGTGCGTTCGATGATAAAAGAGTGAACGTTCGAGGCGGTCTAAAGGTGTCAGAGATCGAGGTATGATCCCCAGGAATATAAAGGAAAGTGCTCCATTGGCCTAGGAGTATATTGTAAATGTGTAGCAGTATATTCTGCTCTTTGTAGAGCATCTATTGAGGAGCGAGAGAGCCTACCGGAGGGGCGACTCAAGCTCAGCCCCACTGTTAGCGAAGGGGAAAACGTTTCCTCGTATGGCTGCGTCTGCCAGATGACAAAAATGACAATTAAAATAGAAAATATTCCTCAGTCTTCAGGGAGAACATGTGCAAACAGCACACCATGAGTCATCTGGGAGATCCACACTCGCACAGCACCTGAGGCCGGGGGCACACACACACACACACACACACTCGCACGCACACACACATCGTCACACTCTCTCCAGCCTTCTGTTCGAAAGTTAAAGGTGCGAAGTACCAAGAGTCTGCAGAGAGGGGGGTAAACTATGGTCGCAAAAAAGTAAACATCTAAAAATGCCATCTAAAAAAGGGGCGCTTAAAGGAATAGTTTGATGAAAAATCAAATTTTCAATTTTCACCTCACCCTAAATGTAGTCTGGATCAGACAAGCCATGATTGATGTCCAGAGTTTGCCTTTTTTGGTTTTGTACTGGAGCTACAAGGCTAATGTAGCTATCAAGTAATGGAAGCATATAGCCACTAGTTAGCACGGTGCAAACTGCAGGCCTAAAACATCGCACGCTTGCCTCAAACTGCATTTAGTTGTTAATAATCTCAAACAGCAATTTTGCACTTGTGGTTTTTGACACTGTAAGACACTCTTACCTATAACAACAGACAAAACCTCTCTCCCAAATTGAGTCATTGTCAATAGCTAGTTCTCCCCCAGTCACACAGTGCTACCAAGCTGGGAGGGTGACATTAGCTAGCATATTCTGCTAATGCAACATCAATGGACAGCTCAACCCTCTTGAGGGAGACGATAACTGCCAATTCTGTTATGTCAGCTAACAAACGCCTGCGTTGGCTAGCATCGGGCTGAGTGATGCGGCTCTATGACCCATGGATATCTGTGGCATCGCCGGGGGAGCCCAGAAAATTGTGTTTTCAGCGTGCATAGGAGAAAAGTGCCACATATATTGCCAGACAAGCTGCTGTTAACCTACAGAATGCATTTAAGCATGGTAAAATCACACTTTTACAGGCTGTTAATCACTTCTTTGTAAAATAATAAAATGCCTAAAGCCTGCTATGTTAACGTAGCCTACAAGCTACTGGTACTGTGGCCTACTGTGGTCATTAGGCTGGGATGTACAAAATTTTAACACCTTTCATGGGACAATGTCGGTCAGTTAATCCAGTGTTTATGTTTTGTGAGGAGCAAAGTTGCATGGAAGGCTTCAACGTGACTTTATCTGCTAACAAGCATGACCACAGCAAAAGAAGTACTGCTTCAGTCTGCTATAGAATGATCTGAAACCAGGCAAGGTTTCAGGACTGATTTAGGACATTGACTAAACATTAAAAGATATGTTATGACATGTAAGTTGTCCCTCTTGATAGCCATCATATCACTTTGTACAAGGCTAATACAGTGTCAGAAACCACATATGCAAGTCTAATTGAGATTACTGAACAACTTGATGCAGTTTTGTGGAATAAAAATGGACAAAAGTTTGTTGTATAGCTACAAACAACAGAGGCAGCTGGCTGAAATTTCGATATGCTGCTGTTTTAGGCAGAAGCTGACCGTAACAACGCTCATGGATGCTAATTGTAGGTTATAAACTTTCATTACTAAAGAAGCAAACTTTATACATCAGTCATGTCTTGGCTGATCCGCTACATTTTGGGTAAGAGGAAAATCGTAGATTTGCTTTTCCCCCATACTGTTGCCTTAAGGTTGTGCGGTATTTTGGTGCAGACATGCACTGTCGGGGCCAAACGCTGCCCCGTCGTTAACCACCCCCGTGCCCACGTCACAGCCTCATGCTGAGGAAGACCCCAGGAGCCCGGGCTAAAGCTTTTGCATCCAGAGTAAGATCAGCCGTGCCTCACCTACAACTACCTACCGTCCTTTATATACATCATACAGAGTAATCAACTAGAGTTAGTTTTGTACATGCGTATGTATATATATATATATATATATATATATATATATATATATATATATATATATATATATATATATATATATATATGTGTATATATATATTTATATTTATATATATTTCTGAAAACCCAAAAAGGTAAAGAAATCTTCTTCCAAAAGGCAGAATATACAGACCTGGTCCAAATCAATGTAGTATCAAACACCCTTCTGTCAAATATTCACTCATCTCAAACAAAAACGATTATTGAAATATATGTACAAAAAATACAAATGCAAATGCCCTAGAATATATCTATATATATTCATATACATATATAGTTTTTTTATCTTTCAATTAAAAATCTGAAAATAATATTATTGTTTTATCTTTAAGAAAAAAATTATTCGAAACCATGCAGTTTCCCAAGCCTCCGAGTTCGTCCAGCGTTACGTCTCTTTGGGGCAAGGTTGAGAGAGGGAGAGGGCGAGCGAGAAACAGAGAGAGAGAGGGAGGGGGGGAGGAGGGCCGTGTGCTCCGCCCGACTTTTTGGGGGCTCTTTCCTGAGCTGGTCTCAGACCTGTGTCCGGCTACGCAGAGCAGAGGCAGAGAGCGTGTGCATGGGTGTGGTCGTGTGTGTGTGTGTGTGTGTGCATTTCAGAAGGTTCAGGGGTCTTTAGCTCCAGTCCTGCAGGACCTTCGTCCAGCACAGGTCATTTCACTGCTTAAAAACACCTCATTCAACTCACCAGGTAATCACAAGTAGAGCTGCACAAAGCACAATTTGTTCATTGTCACAGTATTGGCCTTGCAACACTGATATTGCAGAAATATGTGATATGCGAATGAGCCTCACTAAATCAGTAAATGTTTTACTGTGTGCTTTGAGCATCCTGACCAACCACAAGTGATCCAGAGTTTTTCTGGGTGTTTTTATAATTCAAAATAGCATGATCCAAGAAATTTACTGAATTTTGGTTTAAATATTTGACTTTTTACTATTTTACTATTGAACATTGTCACATCAGAGGTTCACCAATGTGTTTTTAACTGCTTAAACTGCAAACACCTATAAATAGGCCCACACTTTAATTCTTAATTCCTCAATTCTCAATCTTGTAACAGTTTTTCCCTGTGATTTTATGCACACTGATGCAATACCAGTGACCCATTTAGACAGATTCAACATTTATTTTCCTAATATCTATAAAGATCCTTTTTACAATTATATTCTTTCATGTTTTAATCCTTAAAAACGATACATACAACTCTACTAGATTTTTATAAAAAATGAAAAGGGTGTGAACCACTGGGGACCTCTCAGGGTCTTCTAGGCCTTTAGAGAGGGCATAATTTTGTCTGTGGAAAATGAAAAATATGCTGTAACGTTTAGTTCATTTTTACTTAATATAGTCAGGCTTGCTGCCTTTTAACTCTGCGAGTATTGTAGCATTAGTTGTATTTCATTGTTAAATTCTAGTTGGAAACAAAATGGTTAAATTCGTGAAACATCCAAAGGAAAATTGTACAAATTGGATTTTTTTTCCTTTGGGGTTTCTGGGTAGATACAGCCGAGCTACATCTCCCACTGATTAGTACTTACAGAGCTGAACTGAAGGTCTGTTGTGCCAGATTGTCCACTAACATAACTTAGCAACTGACAGTGGAATCAACCAATCACATTTTGATTTCCAATAGATGGGACTCTGGGTCACTCCAGCTAATTATTAAGGCCTTTGTGAACTGAATTCGGAGCGTCAGTCAAGGATAAATGCTAATATCCACAGCACTTTCACCCGGAGGGTCCCCAGTTTGACACACCTGCCCTAGGCCTTCTGAAAGTCCTACGTGCCTCACTGACTGAGAATACGAGTGGTACCCTGACCAGTGTGTTTCAGTCAGATGCCATGAATGGATAACAGCCGTGGCAGCTCTATGGCAGAGCTCTTCACTCTTAGAGCTCTTTACAGAAACACTGTAGAACTGCTACAAGTTAAAACATATGATATGTGTGTTACACGCAATAAAGTAAACACGGAAAGTCTGTTACATGCTGTCGGGTTTTCTGTGTTTAATCTAACAGCCAAAAAATGTCCATGTGAATTGCTGCTCAGAGTAAACCTGCTACTAGAATCACATGGGGGCGCTAGCAGAAATTAGTAATATCATAGAGGAGTTTTTTCCCTCATCTTTTGGAGTTTTGACATTTACGGCCTGAACTGATGGTCTGGCAATAGTCACGGTTTGGCACTGATATGAACACAGTTGACTTTCTTTGCTAGTGGGCGAAGCAGCCAAACTGTGCTGGACACAGGCCCTCCAGGACCAAAGTTGACCGGAGTACCCCTGAGAGAGAGAGAGCGAGAGAGGCTGAGTGTGTGTTGGATTAAGAGAGAGTGTTGGAGAGAGAGTAAGGAGTGGCCCTCTGCTTGGCCCATGTGCTCCTCCGCTCTACACTTTGGACTCGTTCTCCATGTTGGCGATGTCCCCGTTGCGCTCGGCTTGCTCCTGGCCCTCTCCGCTCTTCTCCTTCTCCTGCTCCTCATCACGCGAGTCCAACAGGCCCTGCTGGCTCAGTCTGCTGGCCACGCTCCAGGTGAGCGGCAGGCGGGCGCGAGCGCTCATCTCAGCCAGCTCACGCGCGCTGCAGCTCGGCGTGTTGGTCTCGTAGATTTCGTGGAAGCTGTTGTAGTCGACCTCATAGAAGCCGTCCTCCAGCGTCAGCACGGGCGTGAAGCGGTAGCCCCACTTGATCTCGCCGGCCACGTATGAACTGCGCGCCTGGCACGTCATCCCTGAGGAGAGACGAACGCACAGAAAAATACTTAGGTACTGTAATATGTTCTAGATTTATTTTTATTATATATATATATATATATATATATATGTACACACATTCTATAATCTCTACAGACAACATACTTAAATATCTCAATTTTTTTCTCAACATCTAATCTAAATTTGGCAGATTACATTAATTGTACATTAAAATGTTTGTCTGTAAACTAATGTAATTTGTCCAGGGAGCCTAAGCTGTTGTATATGACTGTGTACATTTGAACAGTGACCCATTCTAAAAGGATAATGGCAGTTGCACATATCATACGTGGTAGTTGTAGTTATATTATACATAATGTACATTATATACAAAAACAGTAATAATTTTGGGAGACTGACATAATTCAACAGGGTGCATTTTAACTCTATTGCACTAACCAAAGAGCCTTAGACTGAGGCTTACGCCAACTGATCAGCACTGAGGAAAAACACATAACAGCACCCTTACTGAGAAAAACTTAAAGGAGTGATGATTAACTAACAATAACCCTCCTAACTGCTTATTGTCCCTTAATTATTTGAATCTTTTTCATATATTTTGTTGAATTCTTTCTCACTTAAGCAGAAAGCAGTAAAAAGATGAACACACACATGAAGTAGCATATATGGTGCAAGCAAGTTTGAAATCATCCCAAATTTTATAAAAAATAATGTGAAACTCATTATTTCAGAACATAGTATATTTATTATCATTGAGCAAAATGGTTTGACTGGATGTGTGCAGTAATAGTACACTAACTAACTGATTCTTAATTCATTTTGCTCCTAGTGATTCTCTTACAGAGTTTTATTACAGCTCTAATCATATCCAGCTGGTTATCACATTCAGACGCTCCTGAATTGAATCTGGTGGGTTAAATAAAGAGTTTAATATTTAAAACAATTACCAAAGACTGTGATTTTCTTTTTCATTTAATAGGGACTTTAAGCAAAGGCCGCAGCAGGGATCATTACAGCAGACTGAAAATATACACTGGCATCAAATGTTTTTCAAAAAACCATAAAAATTCTCAGTTTCATCTGTTTTTATACCATTTTCAATTAAATTCTGGGATTATGTGATTTGCATATGTTTTGCATAGCATCCCAACTTTTTTGGAAATAGTGTTATATTATTGAACCGTTTCATTCTCATGCATTTCATGGTCTGCATGGTGAAATGGTTCTTCAGATTGATGGAGAATGTGTTGTATAAGGCTTTTTTTTTTTTTTTAAATGGTTCTATATAGCATCAAAAAGGGTTCTGCTTTTTGTGCTATATAGAACTATTTTCAAAAAGCCATACACAACACATTCTCCCTCAATCTGAAGAATCATTTCACCATGCAAGGAACCACTTAAACATGAAATGGTTTTATATACACCGATCAGGCATCCTTGTTTCTACGCTCATTGTCCATTTTATCAGCTCCACTTACTATATAGGTGCACTTTGTAGTTCTACAGTTACAGACTGTAGTCCATCTGTTTCTCTGCATACTTTGTTAGCCCCCTTTTACCCTGTTCTTCAGTGGTCAGGACCCCCATGGACCCTCACAGAGCAGGTGCTACTTGGGTGCAGGTTCATTCTCAGCACTGCAGTAACACTGACGTGGTGGTGGCGTGTAGCACTGCTGTGTCTGATCCACTCGTACCAGCACAACACACACTAATACCCCACCACGTCAGTGTCACTGCACTGTTACTGTTTTTAAGTGTGTAGTTTAAATTGAGATTACTTAAAAAATTACTCTGAAATTGCTTTTTTTATTCCATTATATTACAACAGCGAAGAACTTATGTCCAGTTGGATATCGCAGGTATTGCTGCACTGATACAACAGTATTCATACTAATCCTCACAGTTATTTATGATATGTACACAGTTGTATACGGCTTTCTTTAAACTGAACTCCACAGCTTTGTGTGATTATTTTTTGCCATATAATCATGAACTGCACCAGCCCCACGCTTCACTGCAGAGTTTAACGAAGGATGTTTTTCTCACATTTAAAAAGAACTGATCCAAACAGGAACCAACCAAAATGCTGATTAATTCATTTTTAAAGTTCACCTGCACAAGACACAGCCGGATTATTGATTAAATGGATTCAATTACTGATTAATTGGTCCTTTTTTGCCATCATAGGCAACTCTAAAGCGTCAAATTTGGCTTTGTTTCTTTTCAGTTAGTTTCATTTATTGGATAATATTAACACTTGTCTGGTGTTCAGGTCTGTGGGACCCATTTTCAATGTTTACCAAAAGAAAAAATGATTTATTATTATTTGAACGGCAGCTTTCTTGTCCTTTGCTCATTTTCTGTGAAGAACATATAAAATAACCCATTTTCAGTGCCTTCACTCTGTTCACCCCCCACACTTTTGTATTACACATGTGGTGTCGGGTGAACCTGCAGGGAACAAAAGTGTGGAGGTGCTGTGTCCTTCACTCTGTTCTCCTCCTACATGGCCTGCTCTTAGTGTGTGTGTGTTTGTGTGTTTGTGTTTGTATGTGTGTGTGTGTGTGTGTGTGTGTGTGTGTGTATGTGTGTGTGAGGGTGGACAAAATGGACAGGTTGCTGACTGGCTACAGCTGCTAAAGGAGAACCCTATGCTGGACACTGTCAAGGGTGAAAATGTGAGCAGTTCAGTGACCACTAGCATAAATGGTTAAAGCACTAGCTTCTTAACTAAAGAAAGGAAGGAAGGAAGTAAGGAAGACATATAGTTGCACATAAACGTACATATACTATGCAGAAATAAAAAGTAGCAATAAAAATAGACAAAACATAGACAAAAGTTGAACTATAAGAGAGTAGGAATAAAAGTATATATATTTGCATATATTTACATAGTATATAAGACAGGTTTGCCGTATTTACATGAGAGCAGGCACTAAGTGGTATGAGGTAGTCTAAAAACACAGTGAGCTATGTTACGTCAACTTATGTCATCTGATGGCAAATTCCTTATAAAAGCAATAATTCTAAAAATAACACTCAACACATTACCATATTGTCCTAATTTACATTGTGGTGCTCTCATTGGTCATGAAATAGTGCTTGGCAACTTCATCTTCATCTGGAAGAGTGAAGAATTCACTAAGTCGTTGTTGGCTTCAGCTTCAAGTGTTCCCATACACAGAGGATCCCCCACTGGGATTAATACTGCTTATAGCCTCTATATGTGCTTTTGAAAGCTGGAAAATTGGAAAAGCATAAATGAAATCCATTATTTACCTGGGTACAGTTCACATTACAGCCTCAAACACAACAAGATTTTACTGTTGTTGTCAGTGTTATGGCTGTTCTGTTTGTATTTACTGTAAATAGCTATAAATTAAGCTGCTCACATGCTAACTGGATGCGAATAATCCACCTGGAAATTTAGCCAACCATTATGTTTACAAACACTCCACCTCCACCTATCACAATGTGTCCCCAGCCTGGGGGTGGAGGGGTGGGTGAGGACTTCCTCCCCTCTGATTTTGACTGCGGGGGCTAAAGCACCACTGGATTTGAACTCATGATCTTCAGTCTCCTGGCGAACAGGCAGTTAGACGTTTGTGCCACTCAAAAATAGTGAAATTACAGAGAGAAACAATGAAAATATATCAAAATGTTTAATAACACACAAAAACTCTGCTCTAGTAATTTTATTTATTTGCACATGTGGAACTATTTAAGCACAGGTCTCCACCAAGTAACTGTGGTGTGGTTTGTCATAGTGGGAGTCATGGCCTTCATGAATTCATGCATTTCAGGACTTTAAATATTTTAAATCATGATGTTTAAATGAGGTCATTTCACCTTATTATTGTGCATCCAAGTTTGATTACACTAAGTAACAACAACAGGCGAATCCTGTTAATCTGTTTGTGCATGAATTTTCTATTATGGGTAAGCAAAAAAAATCGATTTCCGGTTGCCATAACCGTCCCAACAGCTGTCAATGATTAAAGCGCCTGTTATGTTAGTGCCCTCCGCTGCATGCTAAAGGAATATTTTGAAAACTTAGATTATACTAGATGGTCATAATGTTAAGTGGGCAATACTAAACCTTTTTTTTAAAAAAAACTCTGCTTGCTTCCACACTTTTGTCCTGTAATGTAGGTTTTGTCACCAGTTTTAGTCAGTTTTCTCTGAGTGTGTGTTGCATGCTAAACTAAGAAGGGGAAAGTTTGAGAACTAACTTTAGTTTGGCTTGATAGAGCCATTGCTATGGAATCCCATGTGGTTGCTAGGGTGTTGCTAAGTCATTCTAGAGAATCCTAAGTGGTTGCTTTAGAGTTGTTAGGCCATGCTATGGTATCCCAAGTGGTTTTTAAGGTGTTGCTAAGACATTGCTATGGTATCCCAGGTGGTTGCTAATATATATATATATATATATATATATAGAGAGAGAGAGAGAGAGAGAGAGAGAGATACAAGGTTTACTGCTGTCGGGACAAAACCGATATCTCCATATTTGCTGTCTTTCATTTTTTTTGACATAATTTGAAATGGTCAGTTGCCTTTATAACATGTCAAAATTTCCAGATGAACAGACCAACAGAATTAGTCCAAAATTACTTGAAGAAAAATAATTTATCCATTTACTTCCATTAGTTTTTTTCTTATCTTGTGAAGTTACCTTTATATATATATATATATATATATATATATATATAAAGGTAACTTCACAAGATAAAATATAATATATATAATATATATATATATATATATATATTGGGTCATTTCTTTTAGTCTTTCTTTTTATATATTCCAGTTAGATTTGAATTTTCTCAACATCCTGTCGTTCATTTCCTTGGTACGATCCTGCGAAGTTTTATGGTTCGAGCTTTAAAAACTGCAACCAGCGAAAACGGTACAAAAAAGAGTAGCACGATAAACCAAAGAACAGTTTATCAAGCCAACTTAACAATAAAACAGGCATATGCGTGGCTTCCCTCCACTTAAGAACCATAATTACATTAAT